AGAGGTCACTGTAAGGAGAGGTCACTGCAAGGAGAGGTCACTGCAAGGAGAGGTCACTGCAAGGAGAGGTCACTGCAAGGAGAGGTCACTGCAAGGAGAGGTCACTGCAAGGAGAGGTCACTGCAGGGAGAGGTCACTGTAAGGAGAGGTCACTGCAAGGAGAGGTCACTGCAAGGAGAGGTCACTGCAAGGAGAGGTCACTGCAAGGAGAGGTCACTGCAAGGAGAGGTCACTCTTGCAACAGGCCACTCGTGAGAGAAATTATCATCTATATTTATATAATAAAAATATTAATCTTTGAGCAAGTGATGTTAATAGTTGTGTGAGCAGTGAGGGCGAGTTTGTTTATTGTGTTTGTTTTGTGATGTTTACACACTGCTTGCTGTTTACTGACCATTAATTATGGCAGTGTATATGTTTAAAAATATATATATATATATATATATATATATATATATATATATATATATATATATATATATATATATATTCCTGTGTTTTATATTGCGTATTACCCTTGCCACCTCCCTCTCCCATACATGCATAAATTGCAAATGCTACTATATACATATAATTACAAATGCAACATACATCTACATACCCATATACACATTCAATATGTGTCTGTATAGGGTGACTGAATCCCAGGCTTCAGTTATAACTCAAGAGACTAATATGTCTTATGGAGTTCTTAGCCACTCGTCTAAGACTATAACAGCTAGTTTTACCTCATAATTATATTTATTTCAGCTCCAAACAGGAAATAAGGACTCGGTTATATAGTAAACTTGGACTTAAAGCAAATCACTTGGCCTAACAGCGTGGACTAGCTGTGAGGGGGTTCATTGCGGCTCCAGCATGTCTGAATTGTGTACAGGTGGACAATGGTGTTCTCATGTCACTTGTGTAGGCGAGCAGTGCCTACTGGCAGTGACTGTGAGGTGTGGCTAGGTTGTGGCACTAGGTTAGTACGAGGCACTGCTGCTGTACTCACCTAATTGTGCTTGCGGGGGTTGAGCTCTGGCTCTTTGGTACCGCCTCTCAACTGTCAATCAACTGGTGTACAGATTCCTGAGCCTACTGGGCTCTTTCATATCTACATTTGAACTGTGTATGGAGTCAGCCTCTACCACAACACTGCCTAAGGCATTCCACCTGTTAACTGCTCTGACACTGAAAATGTTCTTTCTAACGTCCCTGTGGCTCATGTGAGTCTCTCTCTCTCTCTCTCTCTCTCTCTCTCTCTCTCTCTCTCTCTCTCTCTCTCTCTCTCTCTCTCTCTCTCTCTCTCTCTCTCTCTCTCTCTCTCTCTCTCTCTCTCTCTCTCTCTCTCTCTCTCTCTCTCTCTCTCTCTCTCTCTCTCTCTCTCTCTCTCTCTCTCTCTCTCTCTCTCTCTCTCTCTCTCTGGCTCTCCTGAGAGACCCATAAGGGGTTAGGATGCCCTCGTAAAGAGGAGCACATCTAAGACCAGCTCTCAACACACACGATAAGATGTCAACAAGCAATATTGACCGCGCCTCAAAATATCGTACCTATGAAACTTTATTAAATTTCGACAAATCCCAACCATTAATTATTATTATACTGTCTTCTTCTTCTTGAGGTTATCTTGAGATGATTTCGGGGCTTTAGTGTCCCCGCGGCCCGGTCCTCGACCAGGCCTCCACCCCCCAGGAAGCAGCCCGTGACAGCTGACTAACTCCCAGGTCCCTATTTACTGCTAGGTAACAGGGGCATTCAGGGTGAAAGAAACTTTGCCCATTTGTTTCTGCCTCGTGCGGGAATCGAACCCGCGCCACAGAATTACGAGTCCTGCGCGCTATCCACCAGGCTACGAGGCCCCTTACTAAATGCTACTTGTGCTACCATTGCCCTAACCAGCTGAGGTAACCACAACCACCATCTGGTTATCTTGAGATGATTTCGGGGCTTTAGTGTCCCCGCGGCCCGGTCCTCGACCAGGCCTCCACTGTCAACCCACCATAACACAAAATACAAATACAAAACAACACTAAATACATGACTCTTTAACGAAAGCTTTTATTTAATAATGTTAAAATCTCTCGAGCATCGAACCCGGGATCGTTGGAAGTGGGCCAACGACGTAGCCTCTTCGGTAACAGCTTTAATATTTAGACACTTTGGAAGTAGAATAAAAATATGGCTTCATAATATAATAAAGTCCCCAAGGTCGCCCGGGGAAATCTTGCAGCTGCATAATATGAAAATTCATCTTTTTTTAATTTCTTGCTGAGTCTGGAGGGTCAACACAGCGGTTGTAAGGGCCTCACAACTATGGCAACACAAGGGTTATAAGAGCGCCACAACTATGGCACCACAGCGGTTGTAAGAGCGTCACAACTATGGCAACACAATGGTTGTAAGAGCGTCACAACTATGGCAACACAATGGTTGTAAGAGCGTCACAACTATGGCAACACAATGGCTGTAAGAGCGTCACAACTATGGCACCACAGCGGTTGTAAGAGCGTCACAACTATGGCAACACAATGGTTGTAAGAGCGTCACAACTATGGCAACACAATGGTTGTAAGAGCGTCACAACTATGGCACCACAGCGGTTGTAAGAGCGTCACAACTATGGCAACACAATGGTTGTAAGAGCGTCACAACTATGGCAACACAATGGTTGTAAGAGCGTCACAACTATGGCACCACAGCGGTTGTAAGAGCGTCACAACTATGGCAACACAATGGTTGTAAGAGCGTCACAACTATGGCAACACAATGGTTGTAAGGGCGTCACAACTATGGCACCACAATGGTTGTAAGAGCGTCACAACTATGGCAACACAATGGTTGTAAGAGCGTCACAACTATGGCAACACAATGGTTGTAAGGGCGTCACAACTATGGCACCACAATGGTTGTAAGAGCGTCACAACTATGGCAACACAACGGTTGTAAGAGCGTCACAACTATGGCAACACAATGGTTGTAAGAGCGTCACAACTATGGCAACACAATGGTTGTAAGGGCGTCACAACTATGGCACCACAATGGTTGTAAGAGCGTCACAACTATGGCAACACAACGGTTGTAAGAGCGTCACAACTATGGCACCACAGTGGTTGTAAGAGCGTCACAACTATGGCACCACAGTGGTTGTAAGAGCGTCACAACTATGGCGCCACAGTGGTTGTAAGAGCGTCACAACTATGGCACCACAGTGGTTGTAAGAGCGTCACAACTATGGCACCACAGTGGTTGTAAGAGCGTCACAACTATGGCGCCACAGTGGTTGTAAGAGCGTCACAACTATGGCACCACAGTGGTTGTAAGAGCGTCACAACTATGGCGCCACAGTGGTTGTAAGAGCGTCACAACTATGGCACCACAACGGTTGTAAGGGCGTCACAACTATGGCACCTCAGCGGTTGTAAGAGCGTCACAACTATGGCACCACAGTGGTTGTAAGAGCGTCACAACTATGGCGCCACAGTGGTTGTAAGAGCGTCACAACTATGGCGCCACAACGGTTGTAAGGGCGTCACAACTATGGCACCTCAGCGGTTGTAAGAGCGTCACAACTATGGCACCACAACGGTTGTAAGGGCGTCACAACTATGGCACCTCAGCGGTTGTAAGAGCGTCACAACTATGGCACCACAACGGTTGTAAGGGCGTCACAACTATGGCACCTCAGCGGTTGTAAGAGCGTCACAACTATGGCACCACAGTGGTTGTAAGAGCGTCACAACTATGGCGCCACAGTGGTTGTAAGAGCGTCACAACTATGGCACCACAGTGGTTGTAAGAGCGTCACAACTATGGCACCACAGTGGTTGTAAGAGCGTCACAACTATGGCGCCACAGTGGTTGTAAGAGCGTCACAACTATGGCACCACAATGGTTGTAAGAGCGTCACAACTATGGCGCCACAACGGTTGTAAGGGCGTCACAACTATGGCACCACAGTGGTTGTAAGAGCGTCACAACTATGGCAACACAGTGGTTGTAAGAGCGTCACAACTATGGCAACACAGTGGTTGTAAGGGCGTCACCACAGCCTCACAACAAAGTTGTTAAAACGTTACTACTACTACTTTGCTACAACCTAACCACAACGATGAGGGAAAACTCCTCTAGAGGCAAGCTATCAAAGGACATCACCAACCAATGATTTGATAAAGTTTGGAGACAAAGTAGAATGGTAGATTGGTAGATTACTCTCAGGTTTTCTCTTATTGGTGGACGGTAGAGTGATGGTCTCGCTTCATGCAGGTCGGTGTTCAATCCCCGACCGTCCGCAAGTAGTTGGGCACCATTCCCCTCCCCCCGTTCCATCCCAAATCCTTATCCTGATCCCTTCCCAGTGCTATATAGTCGTAATGGCTTGGCGGCTTTTCCCTGATAATTCCCTCCCTCCCTCCTACTTCCAGTTGGGTTCGCTCTCGACTCGCAATCGGGAATTCCGAGTTCGAATCCTGGGCGGAACAGAAATGGTTGTGCACGTTTCCTATCACCCAATGGTTCTGTCCACTTAGCAATAAATAGATACCCTATGAGTTCCTCGTCTGGTTCTGGGGAAGGGTTAGTAGTTCGACCTTAAAGGAATCTCAATACAAGCCTAACGTATATATATATATCCATAGGCTACCTGTCCCCGACAAAATGATTTATCATATAGGCAGCAGCACGTTGCTGTGTAGCAAAGCTTATTAAAAGCTGCTCCCAGAACCTGAGTCACACTCAGACTCAAGTGTTTTGTTATGAGGAGTGTGAGGCAGCCCACACACTTGGACCTGTTGAAACCCCCGCCGTCTTGGTGAGGGAGGAGGGGGGGGGGGGGGAAGAGAGGCTGTGAGGGGGGAGAAGGAGGGGACATGAGCACATCCTCTACCCCAAGTGTGTTCTGAGAGTCTCAGCATCCTCCTGGAGCACACACACACACACTGCAATAATAATAATAATAATATCTTTGCTGGCTCACTAGATGTGTGACGTTTGTGTAAGAGAGCAGAAGAACTCTCCCCCCCTCATCTGCTGGGAGGAGGAGGGTCACCCAGGGTGGCACAGTGCCTGGGAGGGTCACCCAGGGTGGCACAGTGTCTGGGAGGGTCACCCAGGGTGGCACAGTGTCTGGGAGGGTCACCCAGAGTGGCACAGTGTCTGGGAGGGTCACCCAGGTTGGCACAGTGCCTGGGAGGGTCACCCAGGGTGGCACAGTGTCTGGGAGGGTCACCCAGGGTGGCACAGTGTCTGGGAGGGTCACCCAGGGTGGCACAGTGCCTGGGAGGGTCACCCAGGGTGGCACAGTGTCTGGGAGGGTCACCCAGGGTGGCACAGTGCCTGGGAGGGTCACCCAGGGTGGCACAGTGCCTGGGAGGGTCACCCAGGGTGGCACAGTGTCTGGGAGGGTCACCCAGGGTGGCACAGTGCCTGGGAGGGTCACCCAGGGTGGCACAGTGTCTGGGAGGGTCACCCAGGGTGGCACAGTGCCTGGGAGGGTCACCCAGGGTGGCACAGTGCCTGGGAGGGTCACCCAGGGTGGCACAGTGCCTGGGAGGGTCACCCAGGGTGGCACAGTGTCTGGGAAGGTCACCCAGGGTGGCACAGTGCCTGGGAGGGTCACCCAGGGGTGGCACAGTGTCTGGGAGGGTCACCCAGGGTGGCACAGTGTCTGGGAGGGTCACCCAGGGTGGCACAGTGTCTGGGAGGGTCACCCAGGGTGGCACAGTGCCTGGGAGGGTCACCCAGGGTGGCACAGTGCCTCGGAGGGTCACCCAGGGTGGCACAGTGTCTGGGAGGGTCACCCAGGGTGGTATAGTGTCTGGGAGGGTCACCCAGGGTGGCACAGTGCCTGGGAGGGTCACCCAGGGTGGCACAGTGCCTGGGAGGGTCACCCAGGGTGGCACAGTGTCTGGGAGGGTCACCCAGGGTGGCACAGTGTCTGGGAGGGTCACCCAGGGTGGCACAGTGTCTGGGAGGGTCACCCAGGGTGGCACAGTGCCTGGGAGGGTCACCCAGGGTGGCACAGTGCCTGGTAAACTGGTTGTGATGTGAAGCCTGGGTGATGAATGAGCCAGTGGTTAAGGCTAAAGCCAACGATTTACAAATGTTATGAATGGTAAATGTTTACATATGAATGACAGTAGTGTGTGTATGTGTGTGTGTGTGTGTGTGTGTATGTGTGTGTGTGTGTGTGTGTGTGTGTGTGTGTGTGTGTGTGTGTGTGTGTGTGTGTGTGTGTGTGTGTGTGTGTGTGTGTGTGTGTGTGTGTGTGTGTGTGTGTGTGTGTGTGTGTGTGTGTGTGTGTGTGTGTGTGTGTGTGTGTGTATTTTATCAGCTAAATGAGTTAATTTGGTGATGTGGTAGGAGAGGGGGGGGGGTAGTGTGATGTGTGGTGAGGGGTTGTGGAGATGTGGCTGAGGGTCTTAGGGTGCTCGTGAAGGCACTATAAGGAACAACATTCCAATCAATATCAGCCAAAGTAGTTATCTGATGGTTGATCAGGTCTCCAATCACCTCCACCAAACACATTCATTACCACACTAACTGAACCACATCTCTCCCATACTAACAAATACTAATACATCCCCCAATTCACTAACTAATCTTTACACACACACTACAGGCATTGTTACAAAATGCGGTAACAAGGCACGCCCACCAAACTAACAAGCCCCTCCCACCAAACTAACAAGCCCCGCCCACCAAACTAACAAGCCCCGCCCACCAAACTAACAAGCCCCGCCCACCAAACTAACAAGCCCCGCCCACCAAACTAACAAGCCCCGCCCACCAAACTAACAAATCCCGCCCACCAAACTAACAAATCCCGCCCACCAAACTAACAAACAAGTCACACCTTTCCTTCCCCTAACAAGCCTAGTATAACTGGTCAAACAATTGGATGGAAGCTTTCATCATCTATAATATAAAACTGAATATTCATTTTCCTGCAATTCTCTCTACTCTGATGCTCCTGTTCACCTAGCAGTAAATTAGGTACCTGGGAGTTAGACAGCTGCTACTGGCTGCTTCCTGGGGATGTGTGTGTGTGTGTGTTAGAGAGAAATATATGTAGCAAACATAATAGAGGAAAAATAAATTGGTTAGAAAGGCGGGTCCAAGAGCTAATGGTTCGATTCTGCAGGATACAAATATTGTATGACATACAGTATGTATATGGCTGGAGTATGACATACATGTGCTGGACCTCGGGGTGGGGGGGGGGCGTATTCTGATATACATATGTATACTTCAGGGGGGGGGGCGTATCCTGGTATACATATGTATACTTCAGGGGGGGGGCGTATCCTGGTATACATATGTATACTTCAGGGGGGGGGGTGACGGGGTGGAGTATGAAATATTATTTGAGTTGTTTAGGGGAGTTATTTCTATGTAAATTGGCTTCAGGTTGCTATGTTCCGCAGGCGGATATGTGGTCCACATGTGCGGTCATGTTGTCCACGTCACACGGGGTCATGTCCACATGACCCCGCCCACCAAACGTCCACATGACCACATGTACTCACCATTAGGTGAGTACATGTGGGGGGTTATGATGTCATTTTGACAGGTCAAACACGTCCATAACTGGTCGTGTTTTGTCTCCCATGGGGCTCACTCAGCCAGCACTCAGATGGAACTCTTATTGGGAGCTCTCCAATCCTGTCCTCTCCCATGGTACTCTCCCAGGCCGCTACTCATCCAGGCAACTCTCCCATAGTAATCTGCCAGGCAGGACTCCCATGGTACTCTCTCAGGCTGCTCTTCCACACTCCTAACTAGCAAACACGCCCAAGATTCTCTCAGATATACTACACGAAGAATCGCACCGAGACGCAGATGACGGGAAGAATCCCATCAAGACGGAGAAGCAGCGCTGTCAGCACCCACGGTGAGGAACAGTAATGAGCAACATTGTTAAGACAAGATAAAGGTAATCGATATCACGTCCCACTTCGCTCCAAGATAACAGGAGATACCACAAGCCCTTAGAGCATCTTTCCTCTCATCTTTACAGTGGGTGGTTCTGTGATTTCTTTCTTGAGAATTCCTCCATGTGTTTTTTACACATGTAAAACACACTTTACACACTTTACACATGTGTTAAGTGTAAGTGTACCTGCTTGGTTATGGGTTTTGTCTTAAGTTGTATAAGCAAGATGAGGGGAGGTGTAAACAAGAGGTTGGATTATTTACTACGTCTTCTAGGTTTTTTTGTTCCATTCTTCCTTTGCCACGGGGAAGGGGGCTTGTGGCCTGCTGGTAGGGGTTCCCTTTCCTACCCTCTTTCCCACTGCACCCTTAACCTATTTCCGCTTCCCTTTCTGCCTTCTCTATCCCTTCAGACCTGGTTCAACCCTTCCATACTTGCCCTCCCTCCCTTCCACCTTCTCAATCAACCAACTCCTTTCTCTCTCTCTCCCTCTACACCTTCCACTTCTTCATTCCATCCATACTCCCTCATTACAACGAGGCTCTCTCCCTCCCTATCTCCCTCTCCACCACTCTCCCTTCCCACCACTCTCCCTCCCTATCTCCCTCCCCACCACTCTCCCTCCCTCCACGGCCCCACTCCCCGGGTCCACTGTGGTACAGGAAATACGGAGCTGTCGGCCCACCGGAAATTTTCTCTGGCAGTGGAAAATCGAATCCAGATTTGATGAAAGATATCACCGATGTACGTGTGTATTTACTATTTGTATTTACAATTTGTATCTGTAGAATCGAGCTATTAGCTCTTGGACCCCGCCTTTCCTATTGTACTCGCCTAGTTGTGCTTGCGGGGGTGGAGCTCTGGCTCTTTGGTCCCGTCTGTCAACTGTCAATCAACTGGTGTACAGGTTCCTGAGCCTACTGGGCTCTATCATATCTACATTTGAAACTGTGTATGGACTCAGTCTCCACCACATCACTGCCTAATGCATTTCATTTACTAACTACGCTGACAGTGAATACAATATTTTAATGTCTCTGTGGCTAATTTGGGTACTAAGTTTCCACCTGTGTTCCATTGTTCGTGTTCCACCCGTGCTAAATAGTTTGTACTTGTCCAACCTGTCAATTCCCCTGAGAATTTTGTAGGTGGTTATCATGTCTCCCCTTACTCTTCTGTCTTCCGGGGACGTGAGGTTTAGCGTCCTTAGCCTTTCCTCGTAGCTCATACCTTTCGGTTCTGTGACTAGTCTGGTGGCATAACGCTGAATCTTATTTAATTTTGTCTTTTGTTTAACTAGGTATGGACTCCAGGCTGGAGATGCATAGTCCAGGATTGGTCTGACATAAGTGGTATTCAAGGTCCTGAACGATTCCTTCCTTACTGTGTGTGTGTGTGTGTACTCACCTAGTTGTACTCACCTAGTTGTGCTCACCAAAGAGCCAAAGCTCACCCCCCGCAAGCACAATTAGGTGAGTACCTAGTTGTGCTTGCGGGGGTTGAGCTCTGCTCTTTGGTCCCGCCTCTCAACTGTCAATCAACAGGTGTACAGGTTCCTGAGCCTACTGTGTTTTGTGTGTGTGTTTGTGTGTGTGTGTGTGTGTGTGTGTGTGTGTGTGTGTGTGTGTGTGTGTGTGTGTGTGTGTGTGTGTGTGGTGTGTGTGTGTGTGTGTGTGTGTGTGTGTGTGTGTGTGTGTGTGTGTGTGTGTGTGTGTGTGTGTGTGTGTGTGTGAGTATTTTATGTATATTTTGTATTATTTTTGTTTGTATATATAAATTAGAATAACTATGTCTGTCCGTGTGAGTTTGGAGGCCAGACGCTCAAGGCTAGCCTGACCCGAATTTGCACCTTGATTCCTATGGGGTACGTTCCCTACATTGTCGGGTCGGGGGTAGCCACAATTCAAGAGGGGAACCACGTATAGGTGTGAGACACATACTCCCCTTCCACGACGATTTTCAAAATTTTGTCTTATAGTATTTTAAAATATTTTGTACTATCAGGAAAGTCACAAATTTTCTATTCCTCATACTTTGGCAGAAGCAAAACACATAATATATGAACTGAACCACTTCCATCCACCAAGGCATTCTTCCAGACGTTTATCCACAGCAATTCTCACACCATGGGAGCCGGTCGGCCGAGCGGACAGCACGCTGGACTTGTGATCCTGTGGTCCTGGGTTCGATCCCGGGCGCCGGCGAGAAACAATGGGCAGAGTTTCTTTCACCCTATGCCCCTGTTACCTAGCAGTAAAATAGGTACCTGGGTGTTAGTCAGCTGTCACGGGCTGCTTCCTGGAGGTGGAGGCCTGGTCGAGGACCGGGCCGCGGGGACACTAAAGAAATCATCTCAAGATAACCTCAAGAATCTCAAGAAGATAGTAATTCTTTCTTAGGTCTCTGTGATATCTGTTATCTAACTTCAAACTACGTCCCCTCGTTCCGGTGTTCTCTCACGTGTTCTAAACTCGTTAAATCGGTGTTCTATTTGTTTTATTTGTAATGGATGCAGGGGTGCACCCATTGCACCTTTAGCACCCCTTTCCTCTTCCCGTCCCTCAAGCCCAACCACTTGGGGTGGACGGTAGAGCGACGGTCTCGCTTCACGCAGGTCGACGTTCAATCCCCGACCGTCCACAAGTGGTTGGGCACCATTCCTTTTCCCCCGTCCCATCCCAAGTCCTTATCCTGACCCCTTCCCAGTGCTATATAGTCTTAAAGTTCAAAGTCAGAAACCA